CGTTGGAAAAATACTCTCACAGAAGGGGCAGGCCCACTCATAGCGCTCATCCAGGTCAGAGTCCGGTGCTGGGATGTTCTGGTCCAGCCTGCGTTGTAGGTGCTCTTGCCAGGAGGGATCATACATCCAGTCATTCGTGTGAACTTGGGCCTGTGTCGTGCGCGTGAGCTCTTTCCGAAGGTCGTCCTGCACTGTGGGAATACTGAATCTTTGCATCACTGATTCATGGGTTTCGCCCGTGAGGAAGGCCTGGTTGGAGATGATGGCTCTGGTGTGCTTCATAACGGCCTTTTGTAACTCTCCAACTGGGCTCCTGACAGACCACAGTGTGCCACTCCGTATGTCATGGTGGAATACACACAGCTTCGCCAGACATTCAACTTGTACGGGATGCGGAGCCTGTGGGAATGGAGTACAGAAGCCAGTGCCCATCGTCGGTTATGAGCCTTAGTGAGCCGGTGCTTCAGGGACTGCTGCTCAAACCCATCGTAGGAGATGATCACCCCTAAGTACTCTGTGTGATCCACCAGAGGGAGCCAACGTTCCGGTTCTCGAGGGCTGAGCAGTAGCCTGCGAGCAGTGGTAGTCTTCCTAATGTATTCCTTTTTGATGCGATGCTTCAAGGTGCCGACCGTTTTCAGGATGGCTTTGGTCTTCTCCATGTTGATCCGTAGACTGAGCTGCCTGAAACATGCAAAGACGATGCGGATTTCATCCATGGCCTGCTCGAAGCCTGCGAAGGAATCGAAGTGAAAACGTAGATGGGAATCATCTGCGTACAGGCAGAGGTGTTGTTTCGTCCAGCCTGGCTGTGTTTTGGCTTCTATGTTAGCACAAAGCAAGGCTGTGAAGGCCGCCCAAAGAATGGGTGAAGCTGTGCAGCCTTGACGAAGGCCTCGTCTGGGGTCGATGGCTCCTTGGAGGTTCCTGTGTCGAAAAATGTAGCGGACCTGGGTGAGCCATAGAAGGAGTACTTCCTGAACAGCTAAGTCAACTTCGGCAAAGTCCAAGGCCTGCTTGATGTGAGCCCATTCGACCATGTCGAATGCTGCCGAAAGATCCAAACTGATTTGTACTCCTCCGCTGCATTTAACCCTCTGCTGCCCCTCGTGTTTTTGGTGGAGATTAACCCGAGCCTTGGAGCATCGATCCCGCACTTCTTTGCAATGAGCAAACACCTGGCATAGTGCAGTGCTGGTTGCCCTGTTTTGGACATAGGCACACTGAGGGAATCGAGTGATGAGATGCTGGATTGCAGATTTCGCCTGTAGAATGATGGTGCTCATCAAGCACTTGCCGAGGGGGTCCTGGACCCCGATAGGACGCCAGTCAAGAGGACTGTCCGACCGACCGTGTGCCTTGGGAAGTAGGGCTACATCCGCGTCTGCCCATCGCTGTAGCACAAGGGGTCTTCCATCCTGCCAGGCATTGAATGTGTTGATCACTGGATCCGAAATAATGTCAGCACAAGCCTTCCAGACGACTGCCGGAGCTGTTCCTTTGGGTACCGCCTTGCGTGGATTCAAGTGACTGAGATACCAGTGAAGATCGGCGGAATGCAGCTGAAATCCTGCATGCTCCGGGAACTCAAACTTGATTCGAGCCTGTGTGTTGTCCGTGGCATATCTCTCGCCGTATGCCTCCAGGATCCAGTCCAGTTCCTCCTCGGGTGCAATCATGTGTCCTCCCCGGTGCCGCTGCAATCTCTTCTTCGGGGCCTTGGGAGCCAGCAATCTGACGGTCTTCCATAGTTCGTGTGCATTGCCCTTGTCCGCTGCTTGTTGTGCCTCTGTCTTCCTTTGTTTTGATCTCTGTTTGGCTCTGGCTTTGTAGATACGATGTGCCCTGGAGAACTCAGCCCACTGTCTCCAGGCAGTGAAGATGCCCGGGATGCTGTGGCGGTGTGCACGCATGCTCCTGAACATGCTCCATAAACGTCTGGCATCATTTGCGAGTGCCTCCGCCTCGTTGAGTAGTGGCTGAGTCGGACGTTTGAGGGGGTAGTACTTGTGGGCCGCCTGCACCAGAAGCTCGTTGTAACTATCGATGTGTTCGGTTAGGTGGGCCTGCACCTCTTGTCTCAGTGAGGCCATGGCAGGAGTGATGATCGGGGAGCGGAGGTCGGCGATAATCTTCTCCCTGTCAATCTGTACTGTCGGCTGAACTGATCTCTGGGTCCCTTGGCTCCACTTGGGCCTGGGGACTGGCACGTCTGCCAGGACTGGAAAATGTCGTGGTCCTCCTCGCCACCCTGCAACAGGAAAATCTGCTACGATACAAGCCTGCTTCGATAAGGCCGTGACGTGCTGGGCACGGATCATGATGAAATCGATCTGGGCCCTGAAGGTAGCAGTGTGATCTCCGAGGCTAAAAGTAGCGACCTGCCCATGTGTTGGCCTGTGCCATGTATTCAGGGCCGTGAGGTGGAGGGTCTGCCAGACATGTTGATGATCCTGACAGTCAACATAATGCAGGGGGCTGTATGGCACTGTGATTGTGCCACAGGTCTGTTTATGTGGTTCGCAAGGACAATTAAAATCGCCTCCAAGAATGAGGGCGTTGCGTTGAGGTAGATGGGCGATGCACTTCTGTAGCTTGACCAGCAGTTTTTGCCTGCGGTCCGGGGTACCCTCTCTGGCATTGACAGCATATTGATACCGGTTAAGGATTTCCACGTGTGTGCTGCCGTGTGGGACTCTGACATGAAGGAGGCGGCCGCCGTGGTGAGCACGAAACTGTATTTGATCGGCCTTGACCAATCGGGTTGAGATGACTGTTAGCAAACCTCCGACCTTGTCATGAGCACCAGTGCCTGGTGAGTGGATGAAGTGGAAGTTTGGCGTTGACCAGGTACCCTCAAGAGTCCATTTAGACTCTTGTATCATGAGGACATCGAGATGAAAGTCTTTGGCATAGGTCTCCAATTCTCGATATACGTCCGCTGTAAGGCCCCCGCAGTTCCATGACATTGTACGCCAATGTGGAACATGTGCTTGTGGAGGCGACCTGAGAGGTCGAAGGTACTGTGGTCGCAGCTGTACCCCCCGGAACCATGCCTGAGGTCGCCATTGCCCTTTGTAGAAGGCTCCTCCTTGTTGGCAAGCTCTGGTGTATGCTCTGCGATACGATCGTTTAGTGCTTCTGCTTGGTGTTTTAAAGGTAGGCACGCTGGCCTGCCGCGTCCCAGCTGGCTTCGCCACGAGAGTGGCTTCAGTGGATCCAGTGGGGAGATCCACAACGCTCGCATCTACAGCCCCGGATTCAATGGTTGGAATGAGAGTGAAAAGAATAAGCACGAAAATCAAGTGACAAACGTGCCTTCCAGGGATGTGGCCGGACTTGGGACCGACCCGGCTGAAGGTACTGGTAGAACGCCAAGCACCTGTTGGAAATCTCTGTGCAATAGTAATTGTATGGCTGGCTGTGCCGAATTTGTATAAAAAGTGCTGAGAGACCGGCCCGGCATAAAAGAGCAGGATGTTGAACAAGCTCCATAGTCCTGCCAGGCGTCTGTATGGCCAATCTGCATTGTACGATGTCCGAGCATGTAAGGGTCCCGCCATGAATGGTGAACTGTCTGCATTGTACCTGTACCAGGAATTGCATTGTAGCCACGATATGAGGAGAATGCATATCCCTTGCACCAACAGAGCTGTTTTCCATTGCTGGGCGATTCGTCGCAATCTGGGCCGGTGGCACCAAAATCTTGCACACCATAAACTGGCTTGTACAGCAGCTGTTTGCCGGCTTTGTCTTGAGAGACTGAGCCGAGCTGCTCCCAGGAAACTTATGGTCAAGAGTGCAACCTGCAAGCCGGCTTCAGTACACCTGTTAGTCCGGGGTCTGTCGCCTGTAAAGGTGAGCCAGGAACATAGGTGTCTGTGGTTGCAGGAGGAGCCTACAGGCAGGGTGCCGGTGCTGCTGTTGAGCCATGCAGCAGATCTGAACTGTCTTGCGAGCTACTATCTTCAGCAGTGCACATGTTCGGTGACTGAACCCACGGCACATGTCAAGGCCAGCCAGATGGAGCACGTGGATGTAGAGGATGTTGAAGAATGTCCTGCGGCTCAGGTTTAGGGCTGCCTGTCTGTGTCTTCTACGGGATCTCCTTCGGCGAAGCAACGATTGCTTGAATTTCCATGCTCGACCTGTTTTCCCAAGACACACCGGAGGCAACATTGAAAACTGAGGCCCACCTTGCTCCATGTAGGCTTTGCTAATCCATCTGATCCAGAAAGGAGGGCTGCTGCATTGCTCGCTGTACAGGCCAAAAGAATGGAACCCAGGCTGGATAATATAATGCACACCATTGTCTGAGCGTGACTTCGTCTGGTGGAAAAGGTGAGGCTCGGGCCGCCTGTAGGGCCACCGCTGGGTGGGCATTGATTGTCCAGGCCAAATCCCAGGATGTAAACCACTGAATGTTAGCAACGTACCCTGTTGAATTTGCCAGCATGGCTTCTCCAAGCTTTGAGAGGAAATGCCCTCGAGCTTGCGGTCGTCGTATGAGCTCCCGGGAGTATTCACCTGGTTCGTCCAGGGGTATCTTGTTTGGGTCCGGGAGCCATAGGTTGTCCGTGCCAAAAAGCAGCCAGCGTTCTGCAGAAAAAGCCATAGCACTATGCGGAGTGAGCGCCACTCCATCTGTCTGAGGCACAGCCGTAAGCGCTGTCAGCCGAGATGCTTGTAGTAGTAGCAGCAGCAGTAGCAGTAGCCGTAGCAGTAGCAGTAGCGCTAGCAGTAGCAGTAGCAGTAAGCATCTTGGCCCAGACGACGAGCATCCTTGGTGGTAGGTTTTTCCTTTTGATGCTTCGGTGCTGAGCTGCAGTGCTGGAGTTGCTGAAGCGGTGTGCGTCTGCATACGGGACCCTCGGGTCGGGACGCATGCCCCGCTCCTTGGCCTCAAGCGAGACAGAAGAATCTTACGGACCAAGCAGCTCCATCACGCGCTCGGAGGATGAAACAATGCGGATAGCTCTGCTTCTGGTGGTGATGCCAATATGGCACTGCGCAGTGATGATGAAGTTTTTCAGGCTTCCGACAGCGAGGCCGCTCCGGCACCAGAGCTCAGTTGCCGCTCGCCTCTGCCACGGAGCACAGCTCTCGCGGAACGGGAACACCACTACCAGCTCAAGCGGCAATCCTTCGTCGAGGAGCTCCTCAAAGGACTTTGCTGGAAGCAGCTGGAGCGGGAGCTCAAGGAGAGATTTCCGATTAAGCAGGCCTCGGCTCAGCTTCGCGAGTACCGCAAGGGCCATGGCAGGGATCCATCGAGAACCTTGCTGTACAATGTTTCGGAGTATTTATCTCCGGAGCGACGCGGAGACTTGGAGCATATGTCTGCGGCGCTTAGATGCATGCTGGAGGAAGACATGCTGGCCAATGACTTGGAATGGCTGGAGCGCTTGCCTGAGGGGCCCATGCCGGATCGCCTGGTGGCCATGCAGTTCTTCCAACGAGCGATCTATGCCTCGTTGTTGGAGCAGGCAGGGGCGGCTGATGCGGCGATGGTGGCTCATTTGTCGGTGGAGTTGGCGTCCAACACCTTCTACAATCCGGCGATGCGGCTGCTCTGGCCGCTTCTTTCAAGCAAGCAGCAGCTGGAAGTGCAGCAGTGGTTCTTCCGTTTCAGTGCGCACATGGACGAGCAGCCTCGACCTGAGCCGGCCTCGTCCTCTACGGGGCCCAGAGCCTGACAGACTTCTGTGTGCCGGCAAGCGCTGGCGCAGGTGGCGTTTTAGGCGGCCGCCAACCAGGCCACGACCCCGTCGGCGAAAGCGACATCGGCCAGGCCCTGCTCCTCTTCCTGCTGTTCCCGCTGAACCAGGACTGCTGAGTTTTCTGAGTTTTCTGCTGGTGAGCGGTAGCTGCTGCGAGTACTTGTACAGTTCACTTACTCGAGTAGTCGTAGGCTGTCTGCTGTACTGGCTTCGCACCCCGGCCCGTAGTAACTCCTGTAAACCTACCCGCCGTGTATACAGCTAAGGCCACCCTGGTCCCAAGTCCAGGGATACCTTCCGTGGTTTGCGCACAGCCTGGGCGCTGTCAGGACTTATTCTGTTGCATCTGCTATCTGTAGCCAGTGCAAGCCCGGAGGGTATAGACGTGAGGGTTGGGGGCCATCCACACCAGGAACCCCCTGGAGCTTCAAATTCTGCGCTCCATCGCGTTACCGCACACGCGAACAGTAACGGTGTTTTACAAGCTCCGCCTAGACAGCCCAAACCCGTCAGGAAACGAGCTTTCATACGTGCACAGAATAGAGCCATGAACCTAGGATACACCAAGTATAAAGGTCGCTGGTGGAGTGCTTCCCAGATGGGCTGTGAGATGCGACCGCCTCGACCACCACGCCATTCGAGAGATGCACAGCCCAGCTCGCGCATTCATTTTCTGTCATGGAATGCAGGAAGCCTCTCGAGCGAGCGGAATCTGGAGCTCAACACGTGGCTTCAGACGTCTGCAGGCCAGGGAATTCACCTAGTGGCAGTTCAGGAGACACACTGGCGTGGAGCTCTTGAATATAACACTGGTAGATTTATGGCCATACACAGTGGCATGCCCAAAGCTGAAGCTGGTTTACTTGTGCTATTAGACACCCACACTTTTCCGCCACACACCGTGCAGCATAGAGAGCTTCTGCCAGGACGCCTCTTGCATGTTAGGATTGAGGCTGATCCCAGCATTGACTTGGTTGTCGGCTATCAGTATGCCTGGTCTGTCCCTAAGCAAACCTCTGCCCGAGCCGTCACCAAGGATAGGTTACTCTCTAAGCGTTCCGAATTCTGGGCCCAGCTGGCGTCTCTTCTGCAGAGTTTGCCGCTCCGCAATCAAGTGTTGTTTCTGGGGGACCTGAATACCAGCTTTAGCACCGAGGGTTCCATGGTCGGTAGAGGGATACACAAGCGTCTAGGTAGTCATGCCCCGGATGCCTCCACGGCGCAAGATCTGCTTAGGACCTTTGACCTCACTGTGCTTAATAGCTGGGGCACCTCGGGCCGAAGAGCTTGCACGTACATTCCGGCTACAGCCACTGGACACAGTCAAATTGACTTTGCCATCATGCGGCGCTGCTCCGCTGATCAGACTGCACGATGTGTAGCTCCTGTCACGCTCCCCTTCGTGCCCACCACAGGTATGCGTCACTTGCCGCTGCTTGGTAGTATACCTCCGCCTCGTAGGCCCACTGCCAAACCTGTCCCGCCCACGATTTCCAGGCGCCAGGTCCGCGACTTATGTCTGCAGCACCCCGCCCTTCCAGACAGATTTCGCCAAGAAGTAGGCCTCCTTGCCGATGCCCAGCCGGCGCTCCCTGCGAGAGAACTACTCACGCAATCCTGGAAGGCGGCCACTGCCACACTGCCACGCGGGCTGCCGATTGCACCACGTCAGGCCGATGACCAGCCGGTTCTTCGCTTATGGCGCCTGCGCGCCACCATCCGCGAACTTACGCCCCTGGCACGCACCTCGCTCCGCTGCTTGTTCCGCCTCTGGCATTGCAAGTCGGCACTGCAGGCACATCAGCGAGAACTGAAGCGCATTTGCAGGTCCAACAAGAAGATTCGGTTTGCCAGGATGCTACAGGAAGCCTCGGACTCGGCCCCCGGACTGCAGAGGGTCTATCAAATCCTACGAACCTTTGCACCCAAAACGCCCAAGCGCAGGCTTCAGCTTCGGGCGGCCAATGGGATGCCACTCTGCATTGCGGACACTGTGGCAGCCATTCGCAGTTTCTACGATGATCTCTATCATCAGCCACTCGCGAGCATGCCTCATCTGAACCCGCCTGACCAACCCCTGCAGATTGAGCTAGGGGAATTCCAGGCCTCCTTGGCCACCCTGCCGCCTGGCAAGGCACTGCCTCCTCATGAGGCCCCTTCCCTCCTCTGGAGACTTGCCTCCGACACTTTGTCAGGGCGTCTTCTCCCTGCCGTCAACCACTGGTTGGCGCACATGCATCTCCCCCCACCTTCTGAGTGGCACATAGCCGACATATGCTTGCTGCCCAAACCTCACAAGCCCGTGGCGGGCCCAGAAACATTAAGACCCATTTCATTGCTGCACCCGGTAGCCAAAGCTCTTGCCACCATCATCAATGGTCGCATCAAGCCTCACCTCCTGCAGCTGGTAGATGGCCTTCCCCAGTTTTCATATTTAGAAGGACGTTCGGTGCAGGATGCCCTCGACCGGGCCATGGCTCATTGCACCCGAGTGCGTTCCATTCTGAATGCGCGGCGGCAGAATGTTCATCTTAAAAAGCAGGGCCACGCTCCATCTCCTTGCCGAGGAGGGCTCACCTTATCGCTAGACCTCCAGCAGGCATTTGACCTCATGCCTCGTGACCGGCTCCTAGAAGCCATGCAACTTGCAGGTATAGACTACAGTCTACAATATGCCATCATGCAGTTGCACTTTCATGCGCAGATGCGAATCACGCACGGTGGTCAGTCTGCTGCCATCGACACAGCTAATGGTGTAAGACAAGGGTGTGGCTTAGCTCCTTCATTGTGGTGTTTGTTAACGTGTCTGATTCTTCAACATGTAAGCACGCAAGTTGCGCTCTCCGACACTACTGCATACGCAGACGACTTTTTGTTTCAGTGGATAGTGAACACGCCCGCGCAGTTCGATCAAGCTTGCGAGCACATTTCCTTCATACTTCGCACCTTTGCACATTTTGGTATGAAGGTCAGCCACACCAAAACTGTGGTGCTCATGGCCCTGAAAGGCCCTCTGGCTGGATCCACTGCGCGGGCGCACGTCCGTAGAGACCCGCAGAAAGGCAAGTGTCTCAGAGTTGCGCTTCACGATAGGAGGCAAGGACTAGCAGGCAAATGCTCCTATATGTTACTGCCTATCGTTGTGCATCATACATATCTGGGGGCCAAGCTAAGCTACACGCAGCCCGAAGCCTTATCACTGAAGGAGCGCATGCGCAACTCGTGGGCAGCCTTCAACCGACTGTTGCCAACGCTGAGGACGGCCGGACTGTCCCTTCAACTTGGTAGACTAGGTGTCGTTGATCCGGTCAAGCACCTTGCCCAGCAGGTTCAGAGTAGACTTGAATACTGTCGTCATGGGAGCAAAGCTCAGCTGCAACCGCCGCCTGTCCACAGATGGTGGCAACAGCTAGAAGCCTGCATGCTGCACGCCCAGACTGACCCTGGGCTGGTGAAACACACTGACGCGCTTAAGGCCCCTACTCGCCTGGTAGCTGTTGCCAAGCCCTTGGACCCTAAGCCCTGCCCGATCTGTGGTCTCTACTACCCTGATATGAGGACCCTCCGCATTCATATGTCCCAAAAACATGTGAGTGAGCAGCTTGTTCAGCCCAGAGTCAGGCGTGCGCAGGCAGAGATGCGTCGTGATTTTATGAAGCACAGCTTGGCAGGCATGCCAACGTGTCGCCATTGCTTGAGGCAATTCACAGCCTGGCCGTCGTTTTGTCAGCACTTCGAACGAGAGCGCTGCACAGTCCTACATGCACAGCTAGACCAGCCCCTACCTGCACCCAGCCCGGAGGAGACTAGTTTGACCTCTAGGCCGGACCCCCTGGTTAAGCACCCAATCCACGGCCCAGTCCAGCAGAGCCCTCGGACTCTATCCTGCATGTTTCCGGCGACTGCACCTGACTTGATCGAAACGGTGCTCAAATCTGATTGGCAAGCCGTGGCTGCAGCTGTTCGTGACACTGACATGCATCACTGCCCAGTTTGCAATCAGTGGCTTGCGCATGTAGGCAATTTGTCACGACACATTAAGTCACAGCATGCAGAGATCCATAATTCTCAGCCGGCGGTGACCGTGTGGCTCCAGCAGAAGCCCACGTCGGTGCTCAGCCCCTGCCAGTTCTGTGGTTTAGACTACAAGGCTCGCCACTGTAGCCGCCCGCGTCACACGCAGTCTTGTCCGGTGCTTTACAGAACGGGTCTTCTGATTGCTTGTCTGCAGCATCTTCGGCAGGCCCAGCATGGAGGCCCCGAATCAGCCGATCCCCACGGAGGCGGACCTCATCTCGGCCGAGGCTCAGATGAAGCTGACGCAGAACATGATGGCGACAGCCACGGACCCCTCGCAGCTGGGGACAGCAATTCCCAGCGGACCACCGGGCCCTCTCGGGGAGTTTGTGCAGGCCTCGCAGAACAGCACGGAGGCCCCCTCGCGCGGTACTTCCTCACAGGGCAGCCAGGGCCCAGCGGAAATGGACACCTCCTCCAGGGACAAGAGGGCAGCTGCGGAGGGAGACAGGGAGGAGCCGACAGCAACTGGCAGGCCTCGTCTGGCGCTGGAGACCGAGGACGACCAGCCGGATCACTCGGGCAAAGGGTACAAATGGCCCCGCCTGGACTCCAAGGACAACACAAGGGAATCCAGAGATGGTTTCGAATGGCAGCGCGACCACCGCGATCACCGCAGCCGACCTCGCCAAGCACGCCAGCCCAGCTATTGGGGAGGTGCCCGGAGATCGGAACGCTCCGACCGCACCGACAGGAACGAGCGCTCCCGCGACACGGAGCAGGCACTGCTCAATCTCTGCTCGGCGCTGACCAATCTGAGCCTGAGGCACGAGGATCAGATGTCTATCAACCGCTCCCAGTCGAACTACATTATGTTCCTGCAGACCAAGGGGATGCTCACTGTGGTGCCGGAGATGGTCAAGGGTATCCAAATATGGAAGGAGGCCAGAGAGCAGCAGCCGGGAACCATCACACTCCCTCTCCGGACTTTCCTGATGGGGAACTGGCTGAAGCTGCTGCGCACCCGCTTCGAAGCCTGCCTGGCCACGGAGGAAGCCCGCAAACAGGCTCTGGAGATGCTGGTTCTAGACCCCTCTGGAGCGGTCCCCTACCTGGAGTGGGATGCACAGGCCAAGGCCATGAAGATCAAGAAGGACCGGGAGCCCATGACTCCCGACCAGATCCTGGAGCTCGTTCGCCAGATGGAGGCCATGATATTGGCCCCGCATGGAATTATGCGGTTCCACGCGGCGAGGCAGCTCGACTGGAATGTTTCGGGGGAGGTCGTCCCTATGATGCTGGAGCTGGGAATCCGGACACAGGAAGCCCACAAGCTATGGGAGAGCTTCGGACGATTGAGTCGCAGCGGGGCGACCAGGGTGGTGTCCACCTCCTTGAGGGGAGACAAGATGGGGCGGTCGGCCCTTGCCAACACGGTGCAGAGGCTCTCCGAAGAGCTGTCCGGATGCTCAGGTTACGCAATCTTAACAATCATTGCTACAGCCATGCAGCGATAAGCATCCTGTGTTGGTTTTGGGCCACTACCTCAGGTCGGGTGGCCGCTGATTTCCTCGGCAGGGGTCTGAGGCAGATCTGCCAGTGGCTTTGCACACGCCAGCCTGGGGCCTCGATTGCGCTCTGGCAGCACATTGCGTGGCGTGCTTTGCACAGTGGTTGGGCGGAACCACACCGCCAGCATGATGTGTTCGAGTATTTAGGTTACCTAAGACCTAAGCTGGGTTCGGATGTCACGCTAGGCCGGTGGCAGTGTCGTCAAATGCAAGATGCACATATCACACTGTTGGACGAAGGCAACACGTGGCCTCTGCTCTTGCCGGTGCAGCTTTCCGCGCTGGAAGCTCGGACAAGCGCTGCATTGACTTTGCAGCACTTAGTGGATGAGTGGGAGTGCTCTCAGGCTGGCCTACACGGCATGACACATGCGCCTGAAGCCTTGCTGGTCCAGATCAATAGGTTTGAGGTTAGTCCCGAGGGTACCCTAAAGGTTGCAACATCGCTTCAGCCAGACCCCTACCTCATGATACCCACTTTCCTACACGATCTGGACCATGCAGCTCCGCTGGCCCTGCAGTACAGGCGGTA